GTCTTCCACTAAATCTCGCTCTCATGCGGGGACGAAACAAAAGTGGCATGAGATGGAGACTGGAACCCTTACCTTTAGCTCTTAGCCCACAATTGCCTGAGACTACTTTCACTCTCATAAATTTCTATGATACTTCTTCCTTTCCCATGCTTATATTTAGACACATTTAATTTTTCGGTTGCAATTGCTGTATTAGTTAACCCCCATTCCCGGTGATCTACGTCGATTCCATTCACTGTCCCAAGTAAAACAATTTTCTCATTAATTACAATTGCTTTTCTTAACCATACGACGTGGGGAATTCTGTGCCACCACTTTCCAAAGAGAAAATTTACTCGTTAATCCGATCCGTACGCTTTGTATAGCAGTCTGTCAAAATGATTTTTTGAGAAATACTGAAAGTTTCAAAGAGATCTTCGTACTTGAAGTATTCTAAAATGTGAAGGATACAACCCCGGGGTACAGAATGAGCCCAGGGCGTACAGGTAGGGTCAAGTACCACAGTGAGGAACGTACCCGTGAACCCGCCCCCACAGCTACAGTGGAAGCCGCCGTGAGTGTTGGTGCAGTTGGTGGCATTCACGCACACGTCCGCCTCACACTCGTCCACGTCCACGTCACAATGGCGCCCCTGGAAGCCCACTGCGCATGTGCAGAGGTAGGAGCCGTTGGTGTTTTCGCAGAGGCCGCCGTTCTGACACAGGGTGGCGTTGTTGTTGTTGTTGTTGTTGTTGTCGTCGTTTGTGTTGTTGTTGTTGTTGTTGTTGTTGTTGTCGTTGTCGTTGTCGTTGGTGTTGTTGTTGTTGTTGTTGTAGTCGTTGTCGTTGGTGTTGTTGTTGTTGTTGTTGTAGTCGTCGTCACACTCATTGATGTCAGTGGCACACAGGGGTCCTGGGGATGGTGGGGGATGTGATGATGTCTGTCTGTCTGTCTGTCTGTCTGTCTGTTTGTCTGTCTGTCTACATGTTTGTCTGTCTGTCTGTCAGTCAGTCAGTCAGTCTATCTGTCTATCTATCTATCTATCTATCTATCTATCTATCTATCTATCTATCTATCTATCTATACATGTTAATTAAAATCTATACATTATTCGTTTGAGTTTTGCATCCATTTAGAGCGGGCTTTGATAGTTCAGTACATATGCAGCAGATCTACCCTTGACCGTAAATATCTTTTCTCCAAATAACGGGACAGAGTAGGACCTACTGTAGACGTCCCACTGTCAACTTTCCCCCGGAGACATTCTCACAAAGGTGTGAACTTGCACAATCTGTCAGCGACAAACTGAACCTAAAGCCCTCCCAACATGGTCGCATAATATACTTATGCACACCAGCAGTAATGGGCACCTGACTTCTAGTTGTGGAAGTAAAGGCGGCGTGGAAAGGAACTGGCCACCCTACCACAATATGCCGAAGGCCCAGGAAGTTGTCTCACTAACAAGGCAATCCCCAATGTCCAGATCGGATGGGGGAACAGCTTTACTTTTTACACCAAAAAAGGTAGACATTATATGGATTTCCGACACAGATAAATATTACACAACCGTCTTTTTTACCTTCAAACCCTCCACACAGACATATATTATACAACCGTTGCGCTTACCTTCAAACCCCTGGTCACAGTCACAGCGGAAACTGCCGTGTAGGTTGACACAACTGGCTCCATTTTGGCAGGCATTCGAACCGCATTCATCCACGTCCTGTGTGCAGTGCGGGCCCTGGTACTCGGTGGTACACTCACAGCGGTAACTGCCTGGTGAGTTGATGCACGTGCCGTTGTTGCTGCATATGTCCATTAGGCACTCATCCACGTCATCAGCACACAGCTCTCCTGGGGACGTTAAGAAACACGTTTAAGTGAGAGTTTTACGGCACTTGCAATACAAACAGGTGGTACAAGTCCCGGAGACTACAGGTGTTACCGAAATAGCAAACCACAAAACAAGTAGGAGGAGGCAGTTTAGGAAAACTGGGAAGATGAATGACACGAAAGAGGAGCTAACTGCCCCAGAGCACCCACCAACCACCTTCTAAGAGTCTCACGGCATCTGGACACACAAACATGTCACAAGTGTGGAAGATCAGAGGCGACGGTCAGAGGGACTGCTAGAATGTTGCATCATCC